GGCAGAATTGCACCACTCTTGCCAGGGGCCAGGCTAAGTAATCTGCTTAGTTTTGGTCTCAGGAGCTTTTATTTTCTGGATGCTTTCCATACAGCTTTGGAGGATGGGAATGAAAAGGGTGGCCTCCCAATCTCCAGCTCCATAGGAGACAAGAGCTTAGGGCCCCACCCCTCAATGTGGCCTCAGAAAAAAGTAGTCAATCCCTCCCATCTCCTTGGTCTCCAGCTGCACTCTGAGCTCACCTGACCTGTGACTGAGTGTTACTGTCTCCAGCACATGGCCCCATTTGGGGTCTCCAAACCCAGCTGATTTTTGTAGCGCACTCCTGCACCAGTCCTCCTGGAGGAGGAAGGTAAGTCTCCTGGATCTGCTGCTTGTTGTGTCCCTGCCTGAAGTGCAGTGGCCTGACTGCTGGATCACAGTTTAAGGCAATCCCGAGCTGAGAGCCCACTCATTGGCTCCGTCTCTGCAGCTGGCTTCCCTGCCCCAATACCTGGGTGCTCTGCCATACTCAGACACCCCTGGTCTTTTTGTGACCCTATAATTCCTGAGACCACATTGTCCCTGCAAGGGCTCCATCCCCGCTTAGCCTCTGAAGCAACGTCCCTCAGTGGAACAGACTTCTAAAAGTTCTGATTTTGTGCTCTGCTGTTCTCTTACTTGCCAGGAGCCAGCCCCTTCCCCCACAGTCTATCTTCCTGAATTTTGCCTCAGATTCATTTCTCACGTCCTAGCTTCCAGAAAGTGGTCGATTTTATGTTCCTAGAATTGCTGCTCTTCTTCTCTTCTCTCTCCTATTGAGTTTGTAGCTGTTTGGAATGGTTTGATAATTACCTAGCTGAATTCCTGGGACCTGATGATATGTAGGTCTTTTCTTTTTCTGCCTTCTTGGTCCTCCTTCATTTTTAAAGGTTTTTCCTTAACCCTGTGAGTTACTAAAAAATATTCCTTTTAGCCATAGAAGCCAGTAAATTCTCTTTTGATTTGCTTATGATAACTTGAAGTGAGTTTGTTTCAATAACATCTACTGAAAAGGACTACTACTACTACTAGTAATAGTATTAATAGAGATAAAATTAATTAGCTATCAATTAATTTAGAAATAAGGCAAAAGTAAATTTTTGGATTTTGAAGAACTGTCCTTGAACTAAAATTATTTTTTAATAGTTTAAGTATTACCATAAGAAACTTGGTATTTGGAATAGTGTGATAGATAAGCACAAAATGAGTTTTTATCCTTACAGGTTGTGGTGTATGATGACCCTTCATAGAACCTGTGCTGTCCATCATTTGTTCATAGAATTTTCTTGGAGTAGTTTCCTGGTATGATTACGTGAATAGTACAATAGATTTTGATTCTCCCAGAGCAGAAACCAAGAGCACAGATCTAGAAGAAAAGATTCAGTAGGCATTGACGTTATCTGTCTGGGATAAGTACTGAAATGATAGGAAAATGAAAAATAATGCCTGAAAGCACTTTCTTAGATGTTATGTGTGTTATATGTAACTAAATAGGTATGTTTGTCTTTGCTAAATATAACTTAATAGCACTTAAAACTAGTCTGGGGGGAGCAATAGAAGATGTAGAATGATATATAAGATTCGTATGTAGATAATACAAAGGCAAAATATAATAAAAAATTGAATGCTTCTCATTTTACTGTACTAGGAATTTGTCTAGGCCTGGGAGGTTGAAGAGCTGATTCTGGTGGCAGGAAAAATTATATATTACTTTTATTATACCCCATAAGGATGGAGTGATTTCTGAGTATGTGCGGTTAGTTTTACTTTAAATGCTATCAGAGTGATCAGAGATTTTTATAGAGAAAATATCTTCCTCAGAGATAGGTAAGCATCCCACTGGAAGCATAGTTACAAATGTTCCTCAGAGTTGGCAGAAAGCTTGGCAATATGCTCCTTAAGCATCCTTTAAAGTACCCCAATGTCCTTCTTCATTCAAGCCCATGGTTTTCTGAAATCTCATGTGTTTACTGGAGAGGAAACATTAGAAATCAAAACAGAGTTGAAACAGTAAATTCTGTGGGTGCTTGGGTTAAAAAAAAACCCTCTCAAGATACAGTTCCCTAATTGGGATTGTTTTTGTGAATTTAGTTACATTAATCCATGTCTCAGTTAATTATGCAATAACATTTACATGCCTAGAGGCAAATTTACAGTTTTTGCTCAGATTTTTTTCTGAAAATGTGTTGTTATGTTCTGAAATCAGTGCAAAGATATTAGCTGTAAATTGAGTTTGGTGTGGGGTAGTGGTGGTTGGAATTCCTGATCTGGCTCTTGGACATGTTAGAATATGAGGAAGTGTTCCTAACCAATCTACCCTTCCATGGTACTAGACCAAATTTTCTACTTTAAGTTTTAAATTTTATATGCTGACTTTACCTCTGAAAAAGTTCCTTTAGTGTTGCCTATAGGATAAAAATGTAAACATTTCAGTCTATCATTAAATATTCTAGTCTCACCTTCAAAGAGTGTGCCTCATACTGGGCCAGACTGACCCTCCCCATGCTGTTATAGAAAGAGTTTGATAAATGCTTGTTAGAAGTGTGAAGTCTGAGCTGTGGATGCCAAGTGAGATATTCACTTCACTGAGCTATAGTGTGACGAGATGCAGAGTTAAGTTGAGGTATTTTTCAGCTTCAAGTCTTTCTTTCAGAGTCTTGAGATTATGGAAGACACTGGTCACATAGGGTTAGATATAAACTATGCCTAAATATTCCCAAAAGGTTGCTGGTTATGCTATTAATTTTGTCTACTATTAATTAAAATTCTACAAGTTTCTATGGTAATGTGTTTTTGCTTGTCATAACTTTGAGAATCAGAGGATTATTGAATCTGGGAGGAGAAAATTTTTTAACTCATTCAGTCTCCAGCTCAAGACAAAAGTCTCTTCTGCCATGTCTTTAATACATTCACTCAGCAGGGAAACACTTATTAAGTGCCTACTCTGAGCCAGTGAGTGTGCCAGGTTTTGTGAAAGACTCAGAGTTTAGTAAAATATGCTCTGCCCTCAGGGGATTATAGTCTCACAGCAATTATGCTACATGTTTATACATATCCTAGCTGATGGTCAGGGATTAATAGAAGTCTAGATAGAATGCTAGAAGAGTTTCAGGGTAGAAGAGACTAATTTTGACTGATGGGATAAAAAGTATTGGGGAAAGTGGCTTTTCAGCAGAGACATAAAGAAGGGTGAAGGTTTGAACTCACAGGGATGGGAAAGAAAGAAATTCCAGGAAGAAGGATATTGTGACAATGAAGGAGTCTTAAAAAGAGGACACAGAGAAGTTAGGTGTGGCTGTATCATAGGACATGCTTAGCAGGATAACTGGTTGGAAACATAGTTAGAGGGATACATTAGGAAAAACAGATTTCTGTAGGTCATTGAGTGTTTTTCTTTCTTTTTTTTTAAAAATATATATTTACTTTAGAGATAGAGAGCATGTGAGTGCAGGGGGAGGGGTAGAGGGAGATGGAAAGAGAATCCCAAGCAGACTCCCCACTGAACAGGGAGCCAGATACAGGGTTCAGTCTCACCACCTTGAGATCATGACTGAGTTGAAACCAAGAGTTGGATGCACAACTGACTGAGCCACCCAGGCGTCACTGGGTCTTTAGAAAGGCAGCCAAAATATGTTGTGCGCTATGCTGCAGGACCTGTGGAAGCACTGGCCATTTTGAAGCAAGCGTGTGAAGGGTGGAAGATGACTGTGAGGGCTGAATGTCAGGTGCACTGGGGAACAAAGAGACTAGAGTCAATGAAATGAGTTGGGGGATGGTACATGGTTCAGGTAAGAGGTAATTAGAGCTCTAACTAGAGAAGTAGCTAGAATAACCATGAGAAGGGGATAGGGGTGTATCCTGTGGGATTTCAGGACTAATTGTTTAAACCAAGAGAAAAAAAGAGAAGTTACCTTAGCAGTTTTTATCCAAGTACCTAGGGAATTGGCCATGCTAAGGAGAAAGAACAGATCTGGTGAGGAGCTAACAGTGGGAGTTAGGATGAATATGCTTTGGAAGTCAGCAGTTTATCAAGCTGGAGATGTCCAGAAAACAATGGGAAATGTGGGAGTGTAACTAGGAAGAAGCACCAGTGGTATAAGCAGAGGCTTGGAAACAGAAATGGTATTTGATGCTGTAAAAGCACAGGTCACCCAAGGAAAGAGTATAGAGAGGAGGAAGAGAGGGACAAAGTCAGAGATTTATTTGGGGAAGTTCACACATTAAGGGAGTGGGAGTTCAAAGAGTGAGTATGAACTAGAGAAGAAACTGTTACAGAGGAAGATGATCAGGAAGATATAAGGTAATGGACAAGAAAGATGGTGAGAGCTTTTTAGCCCAAGAATGTGCTCAGTATGAAATGTGCCGAGAAGATGAAAAAGAGTTAGAGTTGAGGGAAAGCCAGTATCTCTTGGGTGAAGTAGCTAGATGATCATTTAAGTGAACCCTTTTGTAGAGCATATTTGCCATAATTTAGCTGATAACGGCTTCAGGAAAGAGTTGAGACATGTGTTTAAGATGGGGCAATGTGTTCCTGCTGTGTAAATATCTTTTTGTCCCAAGTATACAATAATAGATTTTAACAAGTAAAAAAGGAAGTGAAAGACTTAGTGGAAGGTTCTAAACTCAAGTGTTGGTGACAGCTGCAGCACAGACCTTCTGGGTTTTCCATTTTGAAGTAGGGAGCTTGGTTTCTGCAAACATGCTCCTGATGAGGTGGGGGAACACAGCCATGTCATTGATTAAAGCTGCACAGTTTCTACCACTTGTGAAAAGAGACTGCTAAAAAAAAAATGCCTCATGATGTGTAATCGGTGACTGGTTCTAAAAATTTGTGAGCTGGGGAGTGAGGAAAAGTTTAGGAGTGGAGGTGGGAACAGGGATTCAGGAGGGGCGAAAGCACAGCCTACTACCCATAAGTAGGAACTGTGTTCCAGCGCTCCCTGGCTTTGTACCTGGGTCTGTGACAGTCCCACTGTGAGGGTGCAGGCCTGGATTTGGACTTGGGATGATGGGTGGAGATAATTAGAGAACTTCTACACAAGATGAGTATAAGTGTGAAATACTAAAATCACACACAGAGATAGCATGAAAGCAAATGAATTTTTTGAAAGTATCTATTTTAAACAAGCTTATAAACAGAATTTAAAACACATGAAAAAATTAATGCTTTTTGAAAAGGACAATGAACAGAATTTTTAAAAAATCAAAACATGAATTCACTCCAAATGAAATTATTTTAGGAACCAGTCTGACAAAGAATTTTGTGTGTATTTAAGACATCAAAGCCAAAAAAAAAAAATACAAAACAAAACAAAACAAAAAACAAAACAAAAAAAACCCCAGAGATATTTTCTATTAAAAGTGGAAGTATTGGAGCACCTGGATGGCTCAGTGGGTTAAGCCTCTGCCTTTGGCTCAGGTCATGATCTCAGAGTCCTGGGATTGAGCCCCGAATGGGGCTCTTTGCTCAGTGAGGAGTCTGCTTCCCCCTCTCTCTCTGCCTGCCTCTCTGCCTACTTGTGATCTCTCTCTCTCTCTCTCTGTAAAATAAATAAATAAAATCTAAAAAAAAAAGTGGAAGTATTACAGGCAAGTATTATAGTCAAATAACACAACACATGCAATATAGTATACCATATGATTTCCACCTCGTAAAGTTTAAAAACTGGAAAAACTCATGTGGTTTTAGAAGTTAGGATAAAGATATTGTTATTTTGTAGTGTAAAGAAGAAGAGAAAGGGTACAAGGGGGCATGAGGGAATTTCGGGATAATATTTGCATACTAGGTTGTAATAATTCATTGGTATATATACTTCTTATGTATACTTTTCTCTGTATCTATGTTATAATACAAAGAGTTTATTTGAAAATGGGAAAATAGGGGCACCAGGTGGCTCAGTTGGTTGAGCATCTGACTGTTGATTTTGCCTCAGGTCATGATCTCAGGGTCATGAGATCGAGCCCTCTGATGGACTCCATGCTCAGCATAGTCTTTCTTTCTCTCTGCCCCCTTCCCATGGTGCTCTCTCTTTTTCAAATAAATAAATCTTTTTTTTTTTTTTAAATGGGAAAATAAACTAGGCAGAAAAAGGAACAACTGGCTTTATAAGTAAATCTTGGGAATTATAAGTATAGTTATTGAAACTAAGTAGTCAAAAATTATGTGGGGTTTTCTGGGTTCCATAAATAACACCTCTCTGTACACTACTATATTTGAAGCCAGTTGAGGGATAATTCCAGAAGACAGAGAGAGAGAGAGAGAGAGAGAGAGAGAGAAAGTACAAGTGAGCCTTATTAAGTGGAAGAATCAGGCCAAAAAGCCATATATTGTGTGATTCCATTGACATGAAATGACCAGAATAGACAAATCTACAGAGACAAAAAGTAGATTAGTGGTTTCGAGGGGCTGGGAGTGGGGTAGGGTGGGGTATGGCTGCTAATGGATACAAGGTTTGTTTTTGGCATGCTAAACTTGTTCTGGAATTAGATAGTAGAGTTGTACAACTTTGTGGCTATTCAGAAAAATAAATGAATAGTAGAGTTTAAATTTATTTATTTATTTACTTGACAGAGATCACAAGTAGGCAGAGAGGCAGGCAGAGAGTGGGTGGTAGGGTGGGGAGCAGGCTCCCTGCTGAGCAGAGAGCCCAATGTGGGGCTTGATCCCAGGACCCTGAGATGACCTGAGCCGAAGGCAGAGGCTTAACCCACTGAGCCACCCAGGCACCCTGAATAGTAAAGTTTAAAGGGGTGAATGTGACAGTATGTGAATTATATGTCAATTTAAAAGAAAGAAAAAAGAAAAAGTGAGTTTTGCCACTGATATAACAGCTATGTTGGAGGACAAGGCCAAACTATGCAGACAAGTGCCAAGTAAGTTTGCTGATATTCCTTGCTTACTCTGCTTCTAGCTTACCCCATCTCCAGTTGGATCACACCCCTGGATATTTTTGGGGTGGCACACAGGCACCCAGGATTGCTGTCTCATATCAGTTCAAACTGCCGAAAGAGGAAAAGATTGAGCTTCCAGGGCTTATAGCCTTTATGATGGATTAGCTCTATCCAATCAGAGTGTGAAGTAATGCCTGACACCCAGAAATCAGGTGCAAGGAGTGTGTAAGGGATGGAGCAAGAATAAAGCATGTCACTTTCTAGGGCACATCCCTTCATAGAGATACTTGAGGAGTGAGGGATAAGTACCCCCCGCCTTTTTAAAGTTTTTAATTATTTACATAACCTCTACACCCAGTGTAGGGGCTTGAACTCACAACCCCAGGATCAAGAGCTACATGTTCTTCTGACTAAGCCAGCTAGGTACTCCATAAGTCTTACTTTCTAACAAAATCAGCTCTAGGTTGGCAGGACACAAAGTGAGAATTTGTGCATTAAAGATAGTAGTGACGAATTCACTGTATTCAACCCTGTCTTCTCATTGTAGGGAAGCTGCAAAATATCAGAGAGAAAGGGAAACTTTAAATCTGTGACAGATAAAAGGCTGACAACTTACAAAGAAACAGCAGTTAGACTTATAATTGACTTTTCAGTCAGCAAAACAGATGCCAGAAGACTCTTAATTGCCATTGTAAAATGTCAACCAAGAATAATAATCAAGGTGAATTATTCAAGATTGATGATAAATAAATATATTTTCAGATATATAAAAGTGCAAGAGTTTACTAGACAAATATTACCAATATAAGAATCATTAAAGATACAGAGTATAGAAAAGTGAATGCATAGGTATGCCCTAGGATACAAGATGCAATAGAGGGCACATTTTGTTGGAAAATGTCTCTAAGAGTTGATGTAAAAGAAACAAAGTAAAAAAAAAAAAAGCCAATGTCATGTTTTTCTTTAAGATAAAACTAAGAAATGGACATTTGATGGATATAGAGTGCTAAAATCCTTTTTGTTTCTATGAGGGAGACAAAAGTACTGTAATCTTTAGAGTATTAGAATAATGTGTAGCTAATTATGTATGCTAAAAAGTTAACTAAGGCCATGGTAATAAAATCTATAGGTGGATAAAAAAGGCATGTAAAGGGGCACCTGGGTGGCTCAGTGGGTTAAGGCCTCTGCCTTCAGCTCAGGTCATGATCTCAGAGTCCTGGGATCAAGCCCCACATCGGGCTCTCTGCTCAGCAGGGAGCCTGCTTCCTCCTCTCTCTCTGCCTGCCTCTCTGCCTACTTGTAATCTCTGTCTGTCAAATAAATAAATAAAATCTTAAAAAATATATTAAAAAAAATTAAAAAAAAGGCATGTAAAAAACATTACCTAGTGGAGACAAGAAAAAGAAAAAAAGATAAAGAACCAAAGAAAATATTGGTAAACTCCAAACACAAAATAAGATGTAGAAATAATTTAAAATAAATAAGGTATTAGGAATTGTACAAGTAGATTAAGTCTTCATAAGACAGAGATTTTTAGATGGATATAAAAACAAAATCCAGCCATATGCTGCTGATGCAGCTTACCACAAAAACAAAATTACATGGAAAGGTTGAAAACAAAGAGATGGGAAAATAAACTAATTAGTGTAGCAATATTAATGTCATACAACATAGATTTAAAGTATTAATCAAAAAAGAGGACAATTGTGTAAAGAACAGTTCTCTGAGAAGATTTAATAATCACAATCCATTTACACATAAAGGCATATCCTTGGAAATCATGAAGTAAAAACCGGACAAAATGTAAGGAAAGATGGTCAAATCAACAATTTTAGTGGGAGAGTTAACCCCTGTCAGATACTTACAGAACAAGCTGAGGGAATAATAGTAAGAATAGACAATATTTAAGCAACACAATTAAGAAGCTTACTCTAACAGACAAGATAGAATTCTAAGTTGGACAAAGATGGAATATGACATGTCTTATAAGTACATGTGAAGTATTTACACTATGATCACATTCAGACACAGAACTCTCAATAAATTTCAAAGACTCAGTGCATTCCATGTTCTCTAACCAAAAGGCAATTCAACTATAAATAATAAGAAAATATTTTAAAAGCCCCAGTATGTTTCAGAAATGAAATTATACATCCACAAATCCATCAGTGTGATAAAATACGTTAATGAAAGAACAAGAACCATATGATACTCTCAATAGATGCTGAAAAAGCATATGACAAAGTACAGCATCCTTTCTTGATCAAAACTCTTCACAGTGTAGGCATAGAGAGTACATACCTCAATATCATCAAACCATCTATGAAAGATTCACAGCGAATATCATTTTAGTGGGGAAAAACTGTGAGCTTTTCCCTAAGGTCAGGAATATGGCAGGGATGTCCACTATCACCGCTGCTATTCAACATAGTACTAGAATTCCTAGCCTCAGCAATCAGACAACAAAAAGAAATAAAACGCATCCAAACTGGCAAAGAAGAAGTCAAACTATCACTCTTTGCAGATGATGTGATACTTTATATGGAAAACCCAAAAGCCTCCACTCCAAAAGTGCTAGAACTCATACAGGAATTCAGTAAAGTGTCAGGATATAGAATCAATGCACAGAAGTCAGTTGCATTTCTATACACCAACAGCAGGACAGAAGAAAGAGAAATTAAGGAGTCAATCCCATTTACAATTGTACCCAAAGCTGTAAGATATCTAGAAATAAACCTAACCAAAGAGGCAAAGAATCTATACTCAGAAAACTATAAAGCACTCATGAAAGAAATTCCAAAGAAATGGAAAAATGTTCCATGCTCATGGACTGGAAGAACAAATATTGTGAAAATGTCTATGCCACCTAAAGCAATGTACACTTTTAATGCAATCCCCTTCAAAATACCATCCACTTTTTTCAAAGAAATGGAACAAATAATCCTAAAATTTATATGGAACCAGAGAAGACCCCGAATAGCCAGAAGAATGTTGAAAAAGAAAGCCAAAGTAGGTGGCATCACAATTTGAGACTTCAAGCTCTATTACAAAGCTGTCATCATCAAGACAGTATGGTACTGGCACAAAAACAGAAACATAGATC